TCAAATTGGCAACGGCATAGACACGTTTTCGTGACATACTTTGGAATCTTCTTTTATAGATGTGGCGTTTCCTTTCCTTAGGCATCCAAATAATTCAACGGCTGTTCAATGGGCTCCCTTTGATTGGCAATATTTATACAGATTCGAAAATAGAAAATATGCACCTGCAACTGACGCATCAAATAGAAATTCAAATATACTTCTAAGATCATGAAAAAATTGAATTGGGATTTGCAGAACTGCAAGACGAACTTTTTTGGGTAAAAAAATATATAATTGAGTAATGTAACACAAAAAAAAAAAACAAAACTTGTAATTTATTGGCTTAGGAATTTTGTATTGAATATTTTTTCCGTTTGCTTTTCAAAACGAAATGTCAGATTACAGTGGAACATGTGTGCTTTCATTTGAAAAAGAATATTTAAGAGAAAACAAAAATTTTGTTGTTGCAAAATATTTAGGCTTAATTCCATAGTTGTTGTTTTTATTGTTTTGTTTTTTAAGTTCGGCCGGATCGAACTTTAAATTTGGCAATTAAAAAAAAATAAAATCCGTTAAAAATTCTCTTAAAATCTTAAAAATATCAAATGTAGCCGATATATTAGGGTCTATACGACGACGTGGACCTGCATAGGCAACTTTTGTCGTAAGCCATTACAATAGTCAAATACGAAACATGAAAAAAAATATTCTGTGAATAATATAGCTAAAATCATCAAGATACCCAATATAGGGAGATGCCATTTTGGCTATACCACACCGTGGATCTGCGCATCCAATTTTCTGTCATAAGCTGTAGTATCCGTTACGAACTTCAAATATCAAATTTAAAACATTTCCGATGAATAATGTCGCTTAAATCATCAAAATACCGAATATTGGGATGTACCATTATATGGGTGCTATGCTAAAGACGTGGACCTGCACAGACAATTTTCCGTCATAGACTGTCGAATGCATTACGAACTTCAAATACCAAATTTAGAACAATTCCGGTGAATAATGTCGCTTAAATCATTAAAATACCGAATAGCGGGAGGTACCGTTATATGGGGGCTATACAAAAAGGTGGACCTACAGGGTGGACCATTTTCAATACCAAAAGTCCTGCAGACAGAATATACATTTGAATAAAATTTTATCAATCTACTTAATTTCAACTTCTAGCTTCGTTCGGAAGCTAGAGTGATTTCCGCAGACGGATAGACGAACGGACATAGCTAAATCGACATAGAATTTTATTCTGATCAAGAATATATACTTTTTGGGATCCAAAAAGGTATATTTCGAGGTCTTACAAACGGAGTGACAAACTTAATATAACCTCCAGACTATGGTGGAGGGTATAAAAACATTTATTTATTAATGGAAGATATTAATTAAGGTAATGTTTACCAGTGGTAAGGCATTTAATACCAAGGTATCGGAAAGAGCAACCAATCCTCATAAATTCTCTTGGTTTTTGTTTTGTGGGATATTCTCCACAGGAGTATTTTTTTTAAATAACTTCTGTGACAAAGACGTGATTGTAAGCTCAATAGAAGAGCCTGCAAACTTAACCATCCTTCTTCCACCTTTACCCATCTTTCTCAGAATTAGGAGAATTTCTTAAATTTAGAGAAGCTGTATATAATATAATATGATTCATAAACTATGCATCAACTTGAATAGATCATCCGATTAAACGACATGGCGCCCAACCATACAGTTTAGAAGCAAACATACCAAACGATTGGAAAAGGGGAGTTGAATCCATGTCCTTTATAAGTGTGGTCCAAACCTGGCACGTCGCAATATTTATATCATATTTATGTAGATCCGATTCGAAATGGCCAACATTGGCACATTCCTTCGGGGTTAAACATTTGACTAATCATAGCGGTAGTCAAAATATTTTTAAATAATCGTACATTGGCTGAGATTATACATTTGTCGGCAAAACTGACAGATAATTTTTAACTTATTTTCAGGCCTAATTTGGTCATATGAGCAAAATTCCATACTATTTGGGCTGATATTATACGTTGGGTGCACAATAAAAGGTAAAACGGACGAAGATATCGTTTGGGAGATAAATCTAAATTTTGACGGATTATCTCCAATTTCAATAGGGTTCGTCCTTGGGTCAAACAAATGATTTGTGCAAAATTTCATCTCGATCGGACAATAAATGCGACCAGTACTTTGGACAAAAATGGACAATATCGGATCACTCCATCAAGTACCTACCCCACAAACGGTCAAAATTTTGAATAATTACAACTCTTATAAAATGTGATGTAAACGTCCGATTGTCTTCAAATTTCACACATCCCAATATTTTTATCAAACTAATGTCTGGTGTAAAGATGGAATATATCGGTCCACTCCTTCTGGTACCTCCCCCACAAAAGATCGAACTTTTCAAAAAAAAATTATTTTCTGCACAGAAAGAGAAACGATAATCCGATTTTGCTTCAACTTTGCAAATTCTAATATTTGCGTCAGTGCAAGGTTAGGTGCAAAAATGACCAATATCGGTCCACTCCATCAAGTAACTCCCCCACAAAGGGTCAAAATTTTAAATACCCATTAACATCCCATGAACATCCGATTTCATTTAGACTAGGTACATCTCAATATTTCCATCAACACCAGATGTGTTATAATGATGGTAGGGATCGGAATACTCCTTCTGGTACCTCCCCCACAAAAGATGAAAGTTTTGAATAACCAAAACGATCATAAAATCCGAAAAAAGCATCCAGTTCTCTTCAAATTAGTCATATCACAATATTTTTATTAGCCTAAATCTGGTGTGAAGATGGGATATATCGGTCTACTCCTTCTGGTTCCATTAAAACTTGGTACATCGTAATACTTCATTAACACAAGATATATTATAAAGATGGTAGAGGACCGGACCGGTTTCTTCTGGTACCTCCCCCACATAGGGTTCAGTACTTTGAACATTTTACACATACAAACATTTTTGTTAACAAAAGATCTATTATGAAAATGACATATATCTGCGAATCCCTTCTGGTGTCTCACCCACACATATGGAATTTATGAATTCGCATAAAATTGGAAATAAAGATTCGATTTACTTGTATTTGTTACCCCGATATATTTATCTGTATTACATGAAGTATGAAAATGGAATGCTTCGGTAGACTATCACATATCTCATACAAAGTGAAAGACATTACCAATAAATATTTATATCACATGTGTTTAGGTCTGATACAAAATGAACAATATTGCCCCATTACTTCAGAGTATTACTGCATAGAAGATTAACAATTTGAATAATCATAACACAAGTCAAAATATATTTAAATTACCGAACATTGGCTGAGGAGGGTATACATTTGTCGGCTAAACCGAGAGATACCTTTTAACTTGTTAAAAGCCCCATTAATGTATTAATACAAGTGAACTTGAATAAAAACTAAAGCATACTTAAAGGCGCAAGGGGATAATGTAATGTGACTGGCATACTACCAAAATACAGTTTCTAATAAATTTAAATAGATAAATTATTAAAAAATTATAGGTAAATAGTTACTGTTTAGAAATGTTAAAATATAAAAAATACGCTTCAATCAACACTAATATGAAATAAATATTCTTAAGCAAACTAAAATTACTAAATTTTAACATTATTATTTTTTTTTTTAAATAAGAAGATACTTTGGTCATTATTTACCTCTTTTCGACCTTATTATATTGGCCTTGTATCATTCCTATACATGATGAATATTTCAAAAGCCATCTTAAGAGAAACAAGTTAAAAAACAGTGAGTTCGGCCGGGCCGAACTTTTAATACCCTCCACCATTTGCAACGAATTTGGAAATTTTTAAAAAATAAAATCCTTAAAAAATTCTGTTAAAATTTTAAAAATACCGAATATAGCCGTTATTTTGGGGTCTATACGACGTGGACATACATACGCATTGTTTGTCATAAGCCATTACCATATTCAAATTCGAAACTAGAAATAAACGGTGAATAATGTAGCTGAAAATCATCAAAATATCGTATATAAGGAGGTGCCGTTAAATTGGAGCTGTGCGAAGACCTGGACCAGCATAGACAATTTTCTGTCACAGGCTGTAGCATCTATTACGAACTTCAAATACCACATCTCAAACAATTTCGGTGGGTATTGTACCTAAAATCGTCAAAATACCGAATATAGGGAGGTACTGATATATGGGGCCTATACGAAGACTTGGACCCGCACAGACAATTTTCTGTCACAGACTGTAGTTCCCATAACGAACTCCAAATACCAATTTTAAAACAATTCCGGTGAATAATGTCGCTAAAATCATCAAAATACCGAATAAAGGGAGGTACCGTTATATGGGGGCTATATTAAGACGTGAACCTGCACGGACAATTTTCTGTCTTATGGTGTAGTATCCATTTTGAACTTTAAATACTAAATTTGAAACAATTCCCGTGAATAATGTCGCTAAAATCATCAAAATACCGAATATCGGGAGGTACCGTTATATGGGGGCTATACGAAAACGTGGACCTGCACGGATAATTTTCCGTCTTAGGGTGTAGTATCCATTTTGAACTTCAAATACCAAATTTGAAACAATTCCCGTGAATAATGTCGCTAAAATCATCAAAATACCGAATATAGGGAGGTACCGTTATATGGGGGCTATATGAAAACGTGGACCTACATGGCCCATTTACGAACTTAACCTGCCTACTGGAAAAATAAACATGTGTGCAAAATTTTAGCCACCTATCTCAATTCATTCGAAAGATAGCGTGATTACAACAGACAGACGGACAGACAGACAGACGGACATCGCTAAATCGACTTAGAATTTTACGCTGATCAAGAATATATATACTTTGTTGGGTCTGATATGAGTATTTCGAGGAGTTACAAATGGAATGACAAAGTTAATATACCCTCCATAGTATGGTGGAGGGTATAAAAGCATGACAAGAAAATCTTTTCTTTAATGTACAAATTTAAATATTTTTATTTCTCATAGCTACAATACTAATTCACTTAGTTTACAAGAAAATGAAAATAAAAATTAAATATTCTAAACAAAATAATTCATTCTTTGGCCACTCGATACTACGAGTATTAAACACTTATCGAATAACTTATTAAATAAATTTCAATAAAACTAAAATAAAAACTAAAGCGGATTATTTTCTTAACATACGCTGATGATCGATGGACAACAGTTCCTCCGAATTGCTGCTGGCAGTTCTGCAACGTTTGTGGGCAATGTAGCAAAGCCACACGGTCAGGGGCAGAATGGCCAAACCAACTGGCATTAGGAAGAGTAACCAAAATTCACTTGGGTCACTGGTGGCTCCATCATCGGTCTCTTCACTATAATCCGACCAATAGGCCGGAAAACCACCTCCACCATCATCATCATCGTCATCATCATCATACTCCACAGACTCCACATGGAGATATGCCTCTCTTATACTATGACCACGAACACTAATAGCAACACAGGCATAGTAACCCTCATCGCGGGACTGCACCTCATTTAGAATAAGTTTACTTAGATATATATCCCGACCAATTGATTTTTCCCTGGCCGCTGTCAACAGCTCATAGGCCCGCCCATTATAATGGACAATGGAATGTAAACTATCATAGTTGGCAAATTTATTGCGCGGTGGAAGGCGGCGAAACCATTTTATCGTTGGATGTTCTTCACAATACACACGACACTGGAAGACGGCCTGCGAACCCAATGCAACGGAATGATTGAGAGGATATTCATCCAGAAATTCGGGGATTTTTTGGGATGCATCTGAAAGGAGAAAAAAAAGAGTTTTTTTTTAATAGTTTCCAAATGTAAAAGCAGCTTGTACTTACTTCGTATCTCCAATTGATAGGTTCGCGTGGATTTTGATTTATCCACCACCACACTGCCTCCCACGCCCACCTGGTCTGGTATCACTTTACATTTGTATAGACCCGAATATTTTTCAGTGACATTTTTCAATTCCAATTCGGGTTTACAAAAATTATCCTCACACGGCAGCTGGGTCCAATCATCTTCATTCACAGAATGATAGCAATTGGTAGAGCCGCCCGAATTTTCACCACATTGCTGGAATTATAAGAAATATATAAGAATAAAATTTGAATTTTAAGGGAACGACCCTATGAATCTCCTACAAGACGACTAGCAAGTTCCAGCTACTTCGTCACTGAAAAGACCACCTAAAAATTTTAGATACGTTCCAACAGGTCCTATTACGCTTATTAGTCTCCAAAATGCAAAAAAACTTCACACATCGTACCAAATGTTCACATTTTCAAGGTTTTATATATAAGTCGGGCTTTCCTTTTTCGGAGAGAATATTAGGAAAAGGTTTTCCAAAAAGTTTCAAAATCGTTCACTTCGAAGTTTACCCAGAAGGCTATTAGTAAACCATTTTGGAATGCACGCACATCCAATTTTCCAAAACGATTTTAACGTCTCCATATGTAAACCTCGGAAACCAAAGGTGACCTCAATATCGAATTTCAGAATTTCGACTCTATACCTTTACCCATGTAAATTTTTAGTACATTTTAGTACTTTCCGAACAATTATAGCTGATATTTTCAAAACCGCCTTTTTATCTACATCTCTGCATCCTTGACACTAAAACCACATCCATATCTCAATTCCAGATACCAACAGAGACCACAACATCAAATTTGAGGATTCCAGCGCTATTCCTTCGTCAAATAACGAATTTAGTACCATTTAGTACTTTTCATACAAATATGGATAGCATTTCCAAACCTCCGCCAGCACTATTCCTTCGCCAAATATCGAATTTAGTACCATTTTGTACTTTTCATACAAATATGGATAGCATTTCCAAACCGCCGCCAAATCTCAAACTCCAATACCACCAATAACCTTAATATCAAATATCTGAATTTTGTCTTTATCACTTCACCCTATACCTAATATAGTACCATTCAGTACTTTTCCTACAATTATAGTAGACATTTCCCAAAACATCTCCATGTCTTAATCCCAGACAGAAAATGTAATGATTCCAGCCCTATCCTTTCACCCAATAACAAATTTAGTACCATTTAGTACTTTTCATACAATTATAGGATGCATTTCTAAACCGCCGCAAAATCGTAAACACAGATAGCATCAGTAATCTAAATATCAAATTTCAGAATTTTATCTCAGTACTATTATTTTATCATTCAGTACTATTCGTACAATTATAGTACACATTTCCGAAACCACCTCCATATGTCCAGGCTACACATGAAAAGCGCCCCTAATAATTATTTTCAGATTTCAAGCACTATCTATGCACCCAATGTCAAATTGTGCCAAACCAAGTACTATTTAGTACTTTTCGTACACTTGTAGTTCACATTTATGAAAACCACCTACAAATCTTAACTACAGACATTAAGAGTGACGTATATATCAAGTTTGAGGATTCATTCAATACCATTTAGTACATTTCGTACAATTATAGTACACATTCCCGAAACCACCAGCATATGTCCAGACTACACATGAACAGCGAGTCTTATACCAAATTTCAGATTTCAAGCACTGTATGTTCCCTCAATAACAAATTGTACCTAATATAGTACTATTTAGTACTTGTGGTGCACTTATAGCACAAATTTTTAAAACCACCTCTTTAAAACTGGAATATCAATACAAAATTAAAAAATTCTAGTTTCATCCATTTACCCTAAACCTAACTATTCCAAATTTAGCACCATTTAGTACAGTTCGCACACTTAGTACACTTTTCCAAAACCACTTTCAGATATCAAACTTGCTTTGCAACCTTGATTCCCATACAAAATTTCAAGTTTTTAGATCCTTTCGTTCACATAATACCAAATGGTACCATTTTGGAAGTTATGTATACGTTTAGAACTTTTCGTAACAAGGTTCGAATTTTTAAAAAAACATAGAAAAAATCACTCCATCAGTGACTCTCATACCGAATTTCAGAATCCTAGCTATATCGGTTTACCCCAAATCCAATTTGTACCAAATTTAGTACCATTTGAGTACACATAAGTACGAATTTCCAAGACTTCCTACATAACCCAATTCTACACTCCAACAGTAATCCCAATTACAAATTTCAGGATTCCAGCTCTATCGGAAATTTGAAGTTTTTAGATTCCCGCGTTCACATAATACCAATTGCTACCATTTTATAAGTTATGTACCCTTTTAAAACTTTTCGTAACAAAGTTCGAATTTTCAAAAAAAAAAAAAAAAAAAATCTGAACTCCTGTAGTGACTCTCATTCCAAATTTCAGAATCCTAGCTCTATCTATTCCCCACAATTCCAATTTATACCAAATTTAGTACCATTTAGCACACATAAATACAAGTTTTCAAAACTACCTACATATCCCAATCCTACTCTCCGACAGTATTCTTATTTCCAATTTTTTCAGGTTAAAATATCTACTGGTTCACCAAAATCCAAATTGCACCGAATTTAGTACCATTAAGTACACTTAAGTACAAATTTTCATTAGTACCTTTATCATACAGTCTAATATAATTCTTACTTTTAAATTTCAGGATTCCAAGAAAAAAAATTTAAATTGTTCCAAATTTAGTACCATTTAGTACACATAAGTATAAATTTCCAATAGTACTTACATTCCTCAGTCTTAGAATGTAATGGTAATCTTATTTCCAAATTTCAGAATTCCAATTCTATTGGTTCTCCTAAAATTCAAATTGTACCCAATTTAGTACCATTTAGTACGCATAAGTACAAATTTCAAAAACTACCACCATACCTCAATTCTACAATACAATGGTAATCTTATTTCCAAATTTCAGGATTCTACTTTACAGTTCATACAAATTTTAAATTGTACCAAATTTAGTACCATATAGTACACATAAGTACAAATTTCCAAAAGTACCTACATTCCGCAGTCTAAAAATGCAATAGCAATTTTTTCTAAATTTAGAATCCCAGAAATACGGTTCGCCCAAATCGAAATTGTAGCAAATTTAGTACCATTTAGTACTTTATAGTACCATTTAGTACTACATAAATACTAATTTCAAAAACATATCCCAATCCTATACCCCGCCAGTAATGTTAACTTCAAATTTCAGGATTCCGTTCCTCTAAATTTAAATTGTACTAAATTTAGTACCGTTTAGTACTTTGCTTATACATGAGTACACACCTTCAAAACTACTTCCTTAAATCGACTCTACTCACTCGACTCAATCCTACAATACAATAGTAATCTTATCCTACAATACAATAGTATCTTATTTTATCTTCGCTTAAAATGCAAATTGTTCCAAATTAAGTACCATTTAGTACACATAACTTCGAATTCCAAAAATATTCCTCAGTCCTAGAATGCAATAACAATTTTATTTCTAAATTCCAGCTCTGTCGGTTCACCCAAAGAGAAATTCTACGAAATTTAGTACCATTTAGTACTTTTCGTGTACATAAGTAAAAATTTAGAACACTTCATCCATATCCCAATCCTACTCTCCGCCAGTAATTTTAAATTCAAATTTCAGGATTCCAGCTCCATTCGTTCCTCCAAATTCAATTTGTACTAAATTTAGTACCGTTTAGTACTTTGCTTATACCTGAGTACACACTTCCGAAACTATTTCCTTACATCGACAGTACTCCTCAACCTTAATGCCCATTCCAAAATTCAAGTTTTTAGCTCCAACCGTTCACATGATACGAAATAGTACAAAATGTAATAAATTTTAGTACTTTTCGTAAAATTAGTGTGCACTCCATCAGTGAAATTCATTCGAAATTTAAGAATTCTAGCTTCCAAAATACCAAGTACATTTTAATAATTTTCCTTCAATTACGAGTTTCAAAAACCCAGGTTTATTTGACTCCTTCGGACCACGAGTGACCCTCACACAAAACTTCAATATTCCAGCTTCAGCCGGTTGGTTTCTAGCTTCCTCAAATACAAAGGGTACCATATTTAGTAACTTTTAATACTTTTCGTACCGTTCTAGTACGAATTTCCCAAAACCCAGCATTATCTGACCACTTCGGATCAAATGTGACCCTCACACAAAAATTCAAGATTCTACCTTCAGCCGTTTCGTCTAAGAGGTTATGAATCGTTATATCAGTCAGTCAATCCGTCAATTATTTAACTCTTTTATTAATGCAAATATTTTGAAAGTTTACACTTACCATAAAATACCACAGATATTTAATCACCAAATCATCTTCACTTTCACCAATCACTCCATTCGGTGTGCTGCATTGCAGGGTTATATTTTTGCCCGTGGTCTCCTGGATCAGTTCTGTGTTATCTACCAAAAAAAAAATTCTCCACCTTCAATAAAATTCCAAATTAAATATCAAATACCGCCGATGATACCTACCAGCATAATCAACAAAGAGACCCATTGCCAGACGAGGTCCCCCATTCATAAAAAATAATAATAGATGTAATAAAATTACAAATCGACTGGAATGTAACCTTTGAATATTTTTCGCCATTTTCCTAACCATTTTCATCATCGGAGCGTAAATTCATAGCGGAAAGTGTAGCGTTCTTCCAGGGCAATGTGTGATGGCGATGTTGTTGCAGTTAACTGTCTGGTTATGTTTGTCGCCTTGCTGTTTAGAATGAAGTTTACTGTGTGGCATACAGTCGGTATCATAAATTAGTACATGGAGCTCATGTGTATGGGAAAAACCTGAAAAAAAAACAAATATGAAAAAAATGGAATCAAAAAATTTAAAATTGTAGGGCATCTTAAAATGAGGGCTGTAACAAAACGTGGCAAATCGGACATTGAGATTATAAGAAAGTTGTCTGTGAAAGGTTTTTTATAAACCAAAATTAATTATATTTTTTCATGCTACATATTAGGAATTCAAATTTCTTTTGTTCAGAGATCCGCAGTGAAATTTGATCTAGAATATTTCTTCCTTTGAAACTTTCTCCAAAAAATGAAGTTTTAAGGGAGATTTGGGCTTATTATTGTAACGCTTTAAAATAGCAGTAAAAAAACGTAAACACATAATTTTCACTTACAGAACATAAATTTCGACTGCAACTACTATTGCACCTAGATATATGGTATATTCAGAGATTTTTAGTGAAATTTTGTTTGGAATATTTCATCCTTTGACACTTTCACGAAAAAAACGGAGAATAAATGAAGATTTTGACATAGAATGGAAATGAGTTAAATAAATAGCAAAAAACGTAAAACATAATATTCACTTGAAACATGCACATTTCAAACGCAATTTTATTAAAAACTATTGTACCTAGATGCATGGTGTATTCTGAGATTTATAGTGAAATTTTGTGTAGAATATTTATTTCTTTGACACTTTCCCCATAAAATGAAATATAGATAGAGATTTTGACTTTGAATTGGAAACGTGCTAAAATAACAGTAAAAAAATCAAACACATAGTTTTCACTTGTAGTACATAAAGTTCGAACGTAATTTTCTTAGAAATTATTTGACCTAGTTATATGATTTATTCTGAGATCAATAGTGAAATTTTGTGCAGAATATTTCTTCTTTTGACACTATCTGGCTAGAACGAAATTTTGTGTCACTTTCAGGCGTCAACTCGAAAAAAAAGGCCGTGGACAAATGATCAATACACTAGGAAATATGTTCGCGTTTTTATAGCCTCAGCCATAGGGCTACAGAGGGTATACATCATTTGATACGGCCAAAACGGGACTCATCGAAATTACGGTTTTGACCCTAGGTCTCTTTGGAAAAAATACGTTTCAGGAGTCAATGTAGCGATGTCCGTCCGTCCGCCCGTCTGTCTGGCTTGTGTGCAACGATAACTCTCGAAGAGAATATTCGATTTGATCCAAACTTGGTATATCGTAATATTTTTGTCAAACTTAGATCGAGTTCGAAGATGGGCAATATCGGTCCACTACTTCTGGTATCTCCCCCCCAAAGTGTCAACATTTTCAAAGAAAATAATTTACTGCAATTTTGCAATTCCTAATATTTGCATCGGTGCTAGGTCAAAAACGGGCAATATCGGTCCACTCTATCGAGTACCTCCCCCACAAAGGGTCAACAATTTTGAATAATTATAACTCCTATAAAATGTGGTGGGAAGTCTCCGAATTACACACATCACAATAGTTTCATTAACCCAATGTCTGGTGTTAAGATGGAATATATTGGTCTACTCCTTCTGGTACCTTTCCCATAAAATGTCGAAATTTTCAAAAAATATATTTTCTGCACAGAAAGAAAAATGATAATCCGATTTTGCTCCAACTTTTCAAATCCTAATATTTGCATCAGTGCTAGGTCGGATTCGAAAATGGGCAATATCGGTCCACTGCATCAAGTACCTCCCCCACAAAGGGTCAAACAATTTGAATAATTATAACTCTTATAAAATGTGATGGAAGTCTCCGAATCGCACAGATCACATTTTTTTCATTAACCGAATGTCTGGTGTGAAGACGGAATATATCGGTCTACTCCTTCTGGTACCTGCCCCACAAAATGTCAACATTTTCATAGAAAATAATTTACTGCACAGAAAGAGAAAGGATAACCCGATTTTGCTAAAACTTTGCAAATCCTAATATTTGCATCAGTGCTAGGTCAGGTGCGAAAATGGACAATATTGGTCCACTCCATCAAGTACCTCCCCCACAAAGGGTCAAATTTTTGAATAATTACAACTTTTATAAAATGTGAAGTAAGAGTCCGATTGTTTTGAAATTTCACATATCCCAATATTTTTATTAACCCAAGGTGTGGAATTAAGATGGAATACATCTGTCCTCTCCTTCTGGTACATCCCCCTCCACAAAGGGTAACAATTTTGAATATTCGTGAAGCTCATAAAACACGAAGTTTACATCCGATTCCATTCAGACTTGCCAGATCTCAATATTTCCATTAACACCAGATCTTTTATAAAGATGATAGAGATGGGACAATTCTTTGTGGTACCTCCCCCACAAAGGGTTACGATTTTGAATAACCAAAACGATTATAAAATTCGATATAAGCAACCGATTCTCTTCAAATTACACACATCACAATATTTTTATTAGCCCAAGGTCTGGTGTAAAGATGGGATATATCGGTCCACACCTTCTGGGGCCTCCCTTACAAAGGGTCAGAATTTTGAGTATCCAAGAAGCTCATAAAACGCGAAAATACCTTCCGATTCCATTCAGGTTTGATATATTTCAATATTTCCGTCAACACAAAACCTTTTATAAAGATGGTAAAGATCGCACCATTTCTTCTGGTACCTCCCCCACATAGGGTTCAATATTTTAAAAAAACAAGACGCTCAAAGAAATCGAAATAAGCATTCAAATCCATCGATCTCTCAAATTTTCCACATACAAACATTTTTGCTAACACCAGATCTGTTGTGATGATGATATACATTTGCCAACCCCTTTTGGTACCTCAACCAAAAGGTGTCACAATTTCCAATACTTATATCTGTCATAACTTGCGAAACAAGTCGGCGATTCTTTACAGATTACTATGTCTAAATATTTCTCATAACCAGAAATCTGATATGAATATGTAATGTATCGGAATTTATGATTTCGCATAAAATTGCAAATAAAAGTTATATTTCCTTCAAATTTTGCACATACCAATATTTTTATCTGTATGTGATGAAGTATGAAAATGAAATACTTCGGTCCGCTATATCTGTTACCTCACGCATATTTCCATATTTTCCAAAAATTTGCTCACATCTCATATAAAGTATAGGAAGTAATCGATATAGTCCAAATGTGGCACATTGTAATATTTATACCAGTCTTAGGTCAGATAGGAATTGGTCAATATTGGCCAATTGCTACGGAACCTCCCCCATAAAGGGTCAACAGTTTGAATAATCTTAACTCAAGGCTGGGAGTACCCATCTGTCAGCAAAACCGACTGATACTATTTTTTTTGTTTATTATTTATTTGCAAACTTTCTTTCGGCACTCTCTGTATGGACACACAAATGTGGGAATTTTTCAAATTTGTTGTGTTGCGATTTTTTGTCGATGGCATTGCGTTTTTTGCAACGCTTTGCCTATTTTGTTTTGTTTTGTTTTCAATTAAGGCAACATTTGCATTTTTTGTTGTTGGTGTTGTTGCTGTTGTAAGAAGAAGAAATAAATACTTGCTGATGTTGACTAAATACTGGGAGAATTACATTTAACGGAGTCGTTGTATTTTACACAGACAAGTGAATGGATGGATGGACAGTGACGTAAGACTTTTTTTGAGAAAAACCGGTAACAATGGAATTAATCAGTTTTCTTACGAATTATTTATGAGAGAGGATTGCAGAGAAGACAGTTTGTGAATCGATAATAGAATTTAAAAGAAATTATAAAAAATAAAAATGAAAAAAATCAGTAAAAATGAAAATAGGCTCGACTTTGATTCCTAACGACAAAAATGCCATTCCCAACCAGGGCTCAATTCTTCTTTTATGAAAATGTGAAATTAGAACTATTACAGAGAAAAGAAATTTTAAATAAAAACCAGTAAAGAAAGTCTTAAAGTCGGGCTGGGCCGACTTTATGATACCCTACACCACTTTGCTAATTTAGTAGAGCTCCGCATAACAATTAAAAGTTTTTATGGGAGAATATTTAAAGTTCAAAGGACTAAATATGGCGAAGAATTTGTATCTTTTAAATTCGGACTTGTATTGCCCATCTGATGCACAATTAATTTGAAATCGGATAAAGATATATATGAGAGCTATATCCAAATCGGTAAATATATTTCTGAGCTGTATTTGATATATTTCCCTGAATATCGTTGTTACGGAGTGCATATAACGGCTGCAGAGGACAAAAATAACAAATCGGATGAACAATATATATGGGAGCTATAGCTATATCTGAACCGATCTTCACCAAATTTGGCATACTAGCTTCTAGACTCAATTCGGTCGTAAGTGCCAAATTCCATCCCATTTGGACAAATATTAGACGTTTGGTGCACAATAAAAGGTAAATCGGACGAAGTTATATATGGGAGCTATATCCAAATCTGAACCGATCTCGATAAAATTAGGCAAATGTATTTCTGAGCTGTATTTGATATATTTCCCCAAATATTGTTGTTACAGAGTGCATATTACGGCTGCGGTGGACAAGAGTAACAAATCGGATGAACAATATATATGGGAGCTATAGCTATATCTGAACCGATTTCGGTCAAATTTGGCGTACTAGCTTCTACACTCAATTCGGTCGTAAGTGCCGAATTCCATCCCATTTGGACAAATATTAGACGTTTGGTGCACAATAAAAGGTAAATCGGACGAACTTATATATATGGGAGCTATATCCAAATCTGAACCGATGTCGATAAAATTTAGCAAAAGTATTTCTGAGCTGTATCTGATATATTTCCCCAAATATTGTTGTTACAGAGTGCATATTACGGCTGCGGAGGACAAAAAAATAACAAATCGGATGAACAATATATATGGGAGCTATAGCTATATCTGAACCGAGCTCGATCAAATTTGGCATACCAGCTTCTACACTCAAATCGGTCGTAAGTGCCAAATTCCATCCCATTTGGACAAATATTAGACGTTTGATGCACAATAAAAGGTAAATCGGACGAAGTTATATATGGGAGCTATATCCAAATCTGAACCGATCTCGATAAAATTTAGCAAAAGTATTTCTGAGCTGTAT